TGCTATACAAGTGGGGTGGGCACGCCCAGCTTTTCACGCATGTCAAGTGACTGCCCTCACCCCCACCCCCTAGATTGGCTACACTCCCCCTGGCTCACGAATTCCCCGATTCTCGTGACAGTATAGTAGCGGGCAGCAGTCCCACTTACATACATTTCTGTTCAAAAAATGCGGCGTGCCCACCCTACTTGTATAGCACCTGAATACCTTTGTTCTCGTTTCTCCCATCCTGGGCATAGTCCAAGTGTCACCTACCAGCGGTTTTCAGATGCCCTGTTTTAATGTCCTCCCTAAGGCGATGAGCGCTTTCATAAGGCTTAAGGTGTGCTTAAAACGCATTCAAACCTGCTGCCCTGTAGGCTTCGAAACTCTCCAGGCTTTGCTGAACTATTTTGTGATTAAATCTAAATCTTTCATATAAGACTTGGAATGAACGAGCGTGACTCAACTAGCATTTTTTAGCCTTATGATTGCACAGTTCTAGTACAGCTACACTGATGGTGCAATCCTGTTTTCAGGCTCTAAAAATACATCAGATCTGTGCGATGTCGTATTGGCTGGTATTCTCTCCTCTTTTTATTGCCAGTGCTTTCAACTCTTATTTCGTATTTATCATATTCGTCCGATCCGTGTTTGAGTACAAGGACTTCAAAGGACCAGTGCTTAAGTTTGTACCTATTTTATGCACTTTCTGTACCCACGACGGATCCAAACTGCAGTAAGCATTACAGGCGGAGGGGGATGTGAATGCACAGTTGCCTGCCGCTCACAGATATCCGATTTTGCAGGGCAGGAAATCTTCCAGGGTGCGCATACTATTGCGCTTTGGCTTTTACACCCAGCCAGGAGCTTCTTTCCCTGCGAAAAAAAATTGGTTACTCAACAGCGACATTTCATATCGCTCACCTCCCCCTATTAGTCCACACAATTCCATTACATCACATTTATACACCTTATATAGGCATTAAAGAGCATTACGCCCATTCCTGCTGAATTTAAGGGAATAACAACAAACTAAGACAGGGTTTATCCCAGCAAGAGGGGATGGCGTCATGATGCAAACCGATCTCGGCAAACTATTGTTAACCCTTTGACGACAATGGGCCACCTACCGCGGGTGGTGCCACTATGACCGTCGCTTGGGACGATGGCACCCAATGGTGGGCGCCACCCTAAAAATTTTCTTTTTACCCATTTAAAACATAAACATCAGAAAATATAATAAGCAAGCTCCGTTACGCTTATGTTTGCATATTTTGCAGAAATGTTTGTTACTAGCTAATTTATATGAAGTTTTAGGATATGGCACTTCGCTGGCGATGTATTTTTTTTTTTTTTTTTTTTTTTTTTTTTTTTTTTTTTTTTTTTTTTTTTTTTTTTTTTTTTTTTTTTTTTTTTTTAATTTTTTTTTTTTTAACATTATGTAAGCTTGAAGGTGAATTACAGATCAGGACCTCTACGTCTTTTCACAGTCTTAAGACACAAGGAGGAGTTTGAACTATATCAAAAATTCTACTGTACATTTGAACTTCTAGAGTTTTCAAACACCATCCCTTTGAAATCCGAGATTTCTTTCCAAACTTCCACTTCTAATTCCAACAATACATGATCATAAAGCTTAAGACTGCAGTCATATTTTGTTTATTGTCATAGTCAAAATTTTGATAGAAAAACTGCTTTTAGGGACAATTTTGCCCCATTTTGTGCGAGAGTTGGGCGCGCCAAAAAGAGGCGTGGTCCCACGAGCACGCTACGTGCAAATCCGCATTGTCGTCAAAGGGTTAATCGAACCATTTCCACGCTTTCACGCATGCTCAAGTACTTGCCCCTACACCCCTAACCCTCCCCGTAGACGGCTACACCCCGCCTGGCTCAGATCCTAGCTTTCTGGAAAAAACTGTATCGTGACCCCCTCCCCTAACTGGAATAGATTCTAAAACATGTAGATAAAGTAAAATGATGAAAAACCAACAAACCTTCAATTAAAAAGTGATGAAAGAAGCCGACTGTTGTACCACATGTCCTTTCGTTCATATACAAATGTGTAAAAATATCAGGTGTTCTCCCTTTTTCTTGTGTGGTGCACTTCCCTCCTCTTCTAGCCTCCGCTACTTTTTATTCTGTTTCCAACCTCGATCAGTAGTCTTGGGAGTGCGCCGTACTCTCTCACTGCCTACATGTCCGTCACCCAAGTAATGATAAACAGGACCTACCTATTTATAAAGGAGCCCATCATGACATATGCGCCACTTATTCTCAACCGTTCTTTTGTGCGAAGTTCAGCGAGACTGTGCGGTGCTTACGATTTTTGAATGGGGCCGTGGTGATGGAAGTTTGGGGAGAGTCATTTTTGAAAATCTTGACAAAATTTCACGATCGCTTTTGCTATCACCTTAAAGGCCGATTCTCTTTGTGAAACGGACGTTAGCCTGTATTTAGCCGGGAAGTTGAACTGAGGGCTCGTAGGTTACCGTTCGGTATGCATGTCAAAATTAATATCCTAAAATGTTCCATTCAGATTCGGATTCAATGTCATGCGACTCGCTCTGATCGCCTTGTTTGAAGTATTGTTGTGCTACAAAGTTGAGGGTGACTTCGAACACGGTCAGGTAGCAGTACGCTCATCTTATGGTATTGTATTCACACCCATCTGGATACTTTCTCTTGCGTTGTGTATACAAACATGTAGGTTGTTTTGACGAAATGCAATGCAATAATAACACTCAAATATGCTTATTTTTGTTGTTCGTCAAAAAGAACGTTTTTTTGTGATCTCTGTAGTTAACGGGTGATGGAATAATTTCGAAGGTTTCATTTTTAATAAACATTTTATTTAACAAAACAACTTGGTCAATAGAAACAAATATAACCACCCGTGCAAAGGCATTTGAAAAACGAGCTATAATAAATCAACAAAGTGGTAACTATGACATTTAGAACCTATAAGAGGTCTGGTGAACAGTAACAGAAAATGCGCAGAAATAAGCTCCAGTGAATTGCATCACAGAATTGCAGTTGAAGAATGATTTCTCGTACATCTTCATGCATCCATCCTTCAACGTGCGTCAATGTTCCACTGTATTCGAGTCCACTCAGTAACTGCAAAGTCTATTCGTCCACCTCATCACATGAGTCGCAATCTAGGTATTCCTCGCTCAAGAACTCATCGCGTGTAACTTGTCGCAGTTTTAGTGGCAATTTTCTGTGCCAAATGTGGTAATCGGACGCATCTGCTCGGTCGGATTTGGCTAAGCTCCTCTAAGCGCCGCTCCTAAAAAGAAACTTTGATGTTGTCTGGTTATAGTGCATCTCAGGAATATGCTTCAGAATTGATAGTGGAAAAGAAACTGCAAACTACAGAGGTGGGAAGGGCAAAAAAAACCTTGCCTACTGCCACGCAACAACTTCTCATCACATAGGGTGCCCCAGTCGATGAAGGTATTTTGGCAGTATATTCCCAAGCTGACCCTCCATATATAATACAAAATAAAGCTCCCTTCTATTATCCTCATCGTCACTGGAATATGAAGTCATTCGTCATCACCATTGACGAGCTTAAGAAGGTATACAGCGATCGCTCTAACATAAAGCTATTACGTAATTTCTACGATCGTCTAAGTGATGGATCGTCTCCTTATTCTCCATAACATTAGTCTCGCGCAGTCGCAAGGTGATGAATAGTCAGTTTAGTAGATATTAATGCGCTGGAGGTCATTCGGTTGCGATGCGGTTGTGAGCAAACTGCGATTAATTAGTTTCAAGAGGACTTCAGCCAGTACTAGCTTCGTTACACCAGATTTTTACCTAGGTCATTGAGACTTGATCACTGTATGCCACTTTAATTCTCATCACTTGAGCAACATGGAAAACCAAATTAAAAAAATTAGGGACTATAAAAGCCTACCTACCTCATTCCTGTCTTGTCTTCTGGTCATTCTTTGATTAATCTGAAACAGAGAAATAAGAGAGCATCACTCAAACTCGATAGTGGTGAAACGTACCCGAAGTTCAATTTTATCCTGCATTAACTTTATACACAATCTCGCAATGTTGATCGAGTCATCAAGGCCGCAGTGCTTTTGCCCTTCGAAAGTGAGATTATAGTGCGAAAGCATATTTTGTATCCCAGACTGCTAAAATACGACAGCAGATGAAGGAGGCACTTGCCAAGCGTATTGTATTGTTACCCCGTTGCCTTTCACAAGCTTCATTACACGTTGTTCGAAGATGCGTTTGATATTGATGAAATGCCGACAGTCGTGAGGAATGGTCCCGAAATTAGACTGAAAACTAATTGATTGTATACAGCAATGGCAATAATTGCATGCAGACAACACTAACCAATATGCACTGGAATTGAAAGAACTTCCACAAATCGTGTGGCCTGGAAATACAATTAATCTTTAGCACACACTTTAGCCCTAAGAGAGGTGTCAGGTCGCGATCGTCGCAGTTGTGATATTTCGCGAGGTGCGCATATGCGATTTGCGGATTTCGCGTATGCGCGATTACACGCGATTCACGCGGTCGAGTACGGAAATCAGAAGTGCCCGATCAATACTGCAAGGTGTTCTCCAATCCAAGTTCTTCAATCGCCACTTCTGCTTGATAGTGATGGCTGAATGACGACTGCTCATGATTCCACTTGTTTCATATTCAGTGTTTCAAATGTTACACTTGCATTTTTGCGATCCGTCGCGCGAATCGCGTGATCGCGCAAATCGAAAACCAGCGAAACCTGCCACGGATCGCGAACTCTGACACCAGCCTAGACGTAAAATGCATGCAGCTGTGGTGTGGTGGAAAATATGAAGAATGTTCTTGTCTCTGTGAATGATTCACAAAATCGCACGGAGCGGGTTCTTGAAAAAATGACTGCGATTACTTGCTTAGCGAACTAAAATGCAGTTGTACCTTATTTCTGCCGCTTCTTATAGAGGTTGGCTGTGCTGTGAATTTCTCAGCTTTCCTTAGCCTCCGATACTACTTGAGCGCTTCAGTGTTACTGTGGTGGCAAGCCATTGGACGACGTGAATTTTCAGTGTTTCGATTTAGATCCGACAGATTTCGTGGTAGACGATGACCTTCTAGCGCAAGCTAAAAATTTGGGATTTTCCGAAGCAGACGCTAGAGCTGCGCTGGAAATGACGAGGTCTGGAATTCTACAACTATCCTGTTTTTTTTTGACTTTGAGTCTCATTTAGGAACGACCTTGAAGCGGCTTTGCCCAACATTTGTTTTCCAAAGCGGACGAGCTTTCGCATGCAATGGAGCAGTGATTTCTGCGTCTTTCATCTAATTGTAATGTTGTATGCAATTATAATAACACTGTATTTACGCGGCGGTTTTGTAACAAACAGCAAGCCTTAATGTTGCATGTAATATATACGAGTCTTTTTTTCATTTGCCGTTTTTTGTATAAATCTAGCAAGTTCGGTAGTTTAAAATTAAGCGATAAGGGAAGTTTTATGAAGGAATCTCATGTTCGCGTTCGTATCTATTATAAGGGTGTGGTTTGCTAGGAGAGGAAACGACCTTTGCAAAAATGAGGTCCTCGCGAGAAATGTGCGCGCTTGAATGTGAAAAGTTTTCTGTAATAGGAAAGCAAACCACTACTATAGAATTCAAAACTACAGATTGAGTGTCGGGCTGGTTAGTCAAAACGCGAAAGTCTAACTTGTTTGGGTTTTACTACGTGCGTTTAGAATGCACCTGGTATGCGCGTGACTACCCCATGAGTTCCATGTTGCGTTTTTTCTATTTGTGATGAATCTGCAAATTTTTGGATTAGGCGAACTTCTGATTTCAAAGAATAGCTCCAGATACGCCTGAGAAGACGTAGGGTGAGTCTACTCCGCGCTTATGTTGGATGCGGAATACACTCCGTTGCAAAACTATACGACATACCCCAAATTTTGAGCTTTCTGAAGTTGCGAAAAACTCTGCACGAAAATGGCTAATGCCATTCGATTCAGCGTGTAAAGAAACCTACAAATGAGAATCTTCAAACAGATTTGTCAAATTCCAGAAATCTAGGATCAAAAATTTGAAAAAACGGCCGTTGCAAAATTATACGACATAGCAGAAATTTCGACAATTTTTTTGCTTCACTAAAATTTTTCCAAACTACTCCACAGTCGTAATAGCACTGTATTGTAGGTGAGCAGGCCACGGATTCGCCTTGAGGCGCCTTCACCCTGAGGAGCCTATCTGACATGTTATCTACCAATTTTTGTATGCCTAATCCCAGATACGTGCGTAATTTTTTAAGTAGCTTCTTCTGCAGGAGATGCATGGAGCTGTGTCCAATACCACCAGGAACAAACACACGGGGTAAGAGTGTCCCATGGGTTTTCCATCGGATTTAGACTTCGCTAACAGGCGGACCATCCCATTGAATCTACATGGTAGGTTTCAAAGCAAGTTGAAGTCGGCTCAGTAACATGTATAACCGCATTGTAGTGTTGAGAAACATGCCGATGATGACGATTCTGCGTAGTAGACGGTAGCACGCGATGATTGAGCCACTTATTGGTAGTCGGTGGGGTCCCTTCCGTTGAACCATGAAGACCACGTCTAGCTTGCCATACCAACTGTAGGTTGTGCAGCGTTACCAAGCTCATCTTCGAGAGGGAGACGGAATTTCCGCTCGAATCATCTTTGCACTAGTGCCACCTATCTGGCCGACTAGGAGAAATACTTCCTTTCTCGAAGAACTACCTGCAAAACCTAAGAACAAATAAGTCGTTTGGCATCTCGCCCAAGTGCAATCTGTACGAAAAGTCAACAGATTTACCGATCACGATGATGTGCTCTGACAACACGGGCTACCGTCTACTACGCAGAATCGTCATCATCGGCATGTTTCTCAACACTACAATGCGGTTATACATGTTACTGAGCCGACTTCAACTTGCTTTGAAACCTACCATGTAGATTCAATGGGATGGTCCACCTGTTAGCGAAGTCTAAATCCGATGGAAAACCCATGGGACACTCTTACCGTGGTGTTTGTTCCTGGTGGAATTGGCACAACTCCATGCATCTCCTGCAGAAGAAGCTACTTAAAAATTACGCACGTATCTGGGATTAGGCATACAAAAATTGGTAGATAACATGTCAGATAGGCTCCTCAGGGTGAAGGCGCCTCAAGGCGAATCCGTGGCCTGCTCACCTACAATACAGTGCTATTACGACTGTGGAGTAGTTTGGAAAAATTTTAGTGAAGCAAAAAAATTGTCGAAATTTCTGCTATGTCGTATAATTTTGCAACGGCCGTTTTTTCAAATTTTTGATCCTAGATTTCTGGAATTTGACAAATCTGTTTGAAGATTCTCATTTGTAGGTTTCTTTACACGCTGAATCGAATGGCATTAGCCATTTTCGTGCAGAGTTTCTCGCAACTTCAGAAACTCAAAATTTGGGGTATGTCGTATAGTTTTGCAACGGAGTGTATTACCATGGGAGAAATATAGTTACTACCCCAAAAAAAAAAGCCGTGGAGCAGGATCTTATGTTGGGCATTCGACATGTATCTAGTTTTTTTTTTATCTGATTTTACGAATCGGGTATAAGGCTTCATGCGCCTACAGGGCAATGGTTCTAGTTATCTTAAAGGACGAATTCACGATGAAAAAGCAACCCATTTCAAATTAACCTAGGGATGGTGAGTGGTACACGAAAGAAGGAAGAACCATGAGAAACGGCCCAGAACCCGAGAAATGGTACCCCTTCCTTGCCCGTTGATTCGAGCATTGATGCGACTCTCATCGCTGTGCCCTCTTCAACACTACGCTCTCTCAGCTATCTAATCACTCGCCACGTATTGAACTACGGCGAGTGATCAGATGATCGGTGGGCGGAGATCGCCGACCCGCCAGCTTTGAGGCATGATAGGTCGCCGAGGTCAAATTTTTCCATGCGAATTGCGCGTCAGTTCGCACCCTTAAAGCAACAATCCAGGAACGAATTCGCGGGTAAGGACCACCTATAATGACGTTGCAGGTGAGAAGTTGGTCAATGGAGAAAGAAAAAGTAGAAAAAAACGTCGGGCAGGGGCTTAGACAGGGACTCCCCCGGCCGTTTAGGGAGATGTGTGTTGGACGAGTTGTCCGAACCTGCCCGTAGTACATGCGCTCCAGTTGACTGCTGGCAAATAGCCATGCATGCTTGCAAATACATAACTATTTGCCAGCAATCGAAATTGAAGCGCTTCAATTGGGTTCTTATGGAATCGACCTCATACAGCGCGGCGGTCCCGCAACGACCGCTAGTCGAGCAAGCGCTCTGCACAGCGAATGTTGGGCGATCCGCCTCTTTATGGGTGATCCGCCCCCTCCAAGAGGACTTCGACCCCTTCCAGCGCATTTTAGAGGTAGGTTTTGAAATTAAAGACATTTCCTATAAACTTTAGTTGGGCTGGGGCATGTTTTGACCGCCTAATGACCAAGTAGTTGAAACCCTGCCTGGACTGTTGCTTTAAGAATGCGTCCCTAAACTAGGTCAGTTTCCTTTCTTCGACCCTTCACTCTAATCGTGTATTCCTCCTTTAAGAAAAGCCAATAAAATGAATACGCGACCATAGCGACATGTTGACTAGACAATTAGTGTGCCTTCAAGATAGATGCGTAGCACATATGTGCACATTATAAGTGAAGGTTAAGGTATGTATGGGGCCTCTAGTCAAAAGTGAAGTAAAACAGTTGGAATCTGTGAAGCGGGCGTTCATTATATCCGTTGATTTTCACTGTTGGGTGAGCCATTGACCAACACGGAGTTCTGAGCAGGTGAAAATCGTGTCGAGGACGTGGTCGCAGAAGTACGACCCCCTGAAGTCGAGGTCTAGGCACGACCCCCGACCATACGCAAATTAATTTTCAATTAACAGAAAAATTCCTGCAAAATAATGTTGTAAACAAACTTAACCTTCCCTTGTCATCTTTGCACTTTCTTTCATCGCTGCACACTTTTGTGTTTGTTTTGCTGGAATATGGGCTCGAGGAAAGAGGCATCAGCTTTGTATGATTTCAAAGGCAGGTCCTTAGAAATGCACAGAAATCCTCAAGGCAGTGGTAGTGATTGCATCTTAATTCCAGCTTGAGTACATTCAGAATAGCCGAGTGTATGTTAACGTGCGATCGCATCAGTCACGCATAACCGCCTCGTACTCTCGCGAGCTTACTCTCCTAGTGTGGACCTTAAGCCGGTACTCAGTTATCCATCTATTTGTCGTGTTTGCGCGATATTTCTCTTCAAATGCCATGCAAATTGTAGCATCTCAATTACAATAATAACTCTCGCTTCCCCACGCCCATCGTTATAGTTGGACGTGCTTGTATCCGAGCTACTCGAAGTCCTCCTGCCAAGCTACGAGGGCTGGAGTCATTGTGGCTCTACACTCCTTTCATAGGATTGGAGCCGAGCCAGCGCGCTCTGACTGTCTGTGCCCTCGCATGCGTGACAGGACAGGTAAGAAAGTTCAGTCCTGTACCATTGGCCAATGGGAATCGCGCATTTATGCGCCGCCCTCCCCGGCCTATATTGGTTTACTACATTATGCAGGAAATGCAACACCTACGTTGGGCGCGAAATTTGAACTGCGGACACGACGTTGGCTTTGTGCTGAGCATACAACCGTCCATTTCCCGTCAATAAAACTGGGCCTAATCTTGAAAGAAAGCTGAAAAGGAACTATTTTTACTCTTTCTGCCATTTTCTGGTATTGAAAACTGGACAGAGGTGTTGCATGCTGGGCATACCGTTCGCTTAAGATAGGAGCAATTTTACGCCTTTTGCAGAACGAAGCTTTCACTGCGGGAACCCCAATCCACCCCTGTGAGTGGACCAAGGGCTATTGCATCGAAAAAGTTTCGCGTTGCAGAAAGCGCCGCTATGTCAGAAAGCACTACAAATCTCGTACGCAGTCTTGACTTTAACTCCAGAATTCCTCCTCCGTGAAAAGCTTTGCAGATGCCACACAGGTACAGCATCCTGGTGGTGATCGACGTAAAGTTCTCTGGGGATCTTAGAAGGGGGGGGGGCTGCTCGTTATTCCCATGTCTTGTAAGGGAGGAAGCCCGGGGTGGGATCCATTTTTTGCGAGGAAAGCTTCGGGGTGGGTGTAAATGTGAAAGCGAAATGGTTAGTGCACCGTGAGGATTTCCTTCCCCTGCAAAATAGGAATTTTTGGTCTGCTTCAGCAATTGCATCACATGCTCATTACTGGATGAGACCTTTTCTTGTGCGAATATAGTGAATTACCTTCTTCAAATGTTTATAATGAGGAAGTAGCTCGGAGTAACAGGAGTCGGCTTCACTAGGAGAAGCGGATTTCGACTTCTCGCAGGAAACTTTTATCGCGCAAGACTCGTCTCACACAATTAGAGTTGGACCTGGCCTTCTATCGCGAAATTCCAGCTGCGAAAAGGGAAAATCCGTTTGTGTCTACGGGACCAAACGTGTGATTGAAGAGGGGGGAGGGGGTATTGCATTTTCGGTAGTGTAAGTTTTAAGGAGTTTGGAAGCAGGTGTATGCTGGAAGCATCAAAAGCTGGCTTTGGGGGGGGGGGTGGGAGGGCCAGTCACGCACACGGCTCAGGTGTAGTATTTAACTCGACATTCCAGCTCTCGCGGAATGTCAGCTTTCAGTCACTTCATGCTAAAGTGAACTGCCTCAGCCCTCCCCCTACCCTCCCCTACTTGGCTGGCATTCCCCTGGCTCAAAAATTTACCTGTGCCGCAACTGCGCGCCGGGCGGCTGGCGTCCCCCCCCGGAGCAATTGCGCCTTCGAATTATTAATGTGATGAAGTTTTTTGTGGGTAAAATCGCGAAAATGTGTGTAACTGACAAATTCGAGGATTGAACGATGTGTTTTTAAGGTCATTGTGCACTGCTGTATTTCGTGACTGGAACCAAGGACGTGTCGCCAAACACCGATCTCTGAAGCATAGCATATCATGGCGCACGAAAATGATGTAAGTTGTCTATTGCTTTTTTTTCCTTTAAATTATGCTTCGTTGGTTGATTGTGGGATTTGAGAACGAATGGGCAGTTATTACGCATACCTATGACAAATAGAAAATGGATTTTGGTAATTGCTGTGTAGGGAAACCTCACTCGAAGACGATTAAAGGCTCGACTCAGTGTTTTTCGGACGGGTTTCAGGGCAGCAGCCTTCAGAAAGCGGAGATTCGATGCACCATGATGTGATTAAAATCGTAATCGAAGGCAAGTTGCGTCTTCCACGTGCCTCGAGATGTGATTCATATGTCGAAAACAATCAAGACAATGATTAGCGATCTCGGTGTTGACAGCAGCGACCCGATTCCGATTTGTAATGTTTACGGTATTATTATGAAGAAAGTGCTGGATTGGTGCACATTACCACAAAGACGACCCACCATTTGTTGAAGACGAGAACAAAACGAGAACAATGGAAATCTGCGCATGGGATAGGCAGTTCTTCAACGTCGACCAGGGAACAATATTCGAATTGATCTTGGCTGCAAATTACCTAGACATCAGAGGTCTGCTTGACGTTGCATGTCGAGTTGTCGCCAGCATGATCAATGGAAAAACTCCTGAGGAGATCCGCCGTACCTTCAATATCAGAAATGACTTCACGCCAGAAGAAGAAGCACGTATTCGTAAGGAGAACGCATGGGTGGAGGGATAAGGCATTGCTAAAGGTTTTTGAAGGAGGATTACAAGCATTCCGTTCATACATTCATACCACTTTGTATTGTTATGTTTTCTTTAAATATCCGGTTTCGAAATGGTTCTGTTTTGCTACTCTGAAAGAGGATTATGTGCATTCCATATCAGCTTTATAAAATTACGAATGAATTTATGTATAACAGTACTACCTGAGCACATAAATGAGCACACTCTCAAGTTCATACTTCTCTCTTGTGTTTTTGTGCCTTTCACAACGACCAGGGCTTTGGGTAATCCTACCGTAATGTTCTGTTGTCAAAGTTTCAGCGTTACGTACCCTATAATGATTATGCGGAAGATTCTGTGGAAGAACTCACGGAGTACTATGAGAAGATACTACGTGTTCGGATGAACTTGAAGCAAAACGTCACGCAGAAGGGATTCCTGAACAATATAATCTTGATGGAACCGGTAATTATTGTGAAATTTTCATTTATTGATTATAGGTTGATTTTGAGTGCATTCCTCTTGTCGCTCGGTTCCTCATGGGACGTAAATCTGAGATCTGACACAGTTGTACAGTACGAAATTTCTGCGAATTGATGCGATCTTTTGGATGTGCCATGTTTAGCACGGGTGTGCAAGCTTTCAATGTGTAGGCTTTTGTAGCTCAAAACGGTCAACAACAAAGCGCTCAACTAAAATGGACGCTGACAGGCTAGTTAGTGTTCACATGACCAGGCTAATCAGGTCAGAGGAGCCAAAGATCAGTATTACTTGAATGACTGTCTAAAAAACGAAATTTCAGCGAAGGTGCGGACCGAGATACCTCCTGAGAATGTTTTGAAGCGAGTAGAATACGAAGAGCCGCCCAAAGGTATCGAAGTGGAGACGTTAGTCGATGTCATGCGACGACTTCATTCTCTTACAGCAGCAGAGATGCGCACCTTCCTCTCAAGCAAGTACATCAGTCTGGGCAGTGAGTGTTCATTTTTTTCCTTTATAAGGTCCATAGACGCTTATGAGGTCTTTTGACCACAAACAGAGTTCTGTCTTACACGTCTTCAACCTTGCTGCTCTTCCACGTATAAGCAGCAGCGGTGCACGTTTATTTTTCATGTATTTCGATAAAAAAGGTTCCCTATGTGTAGTGGCACGTCTCTCAGAGGTAGAAGACATGAGTAATGATGACAAAAAGCAGGAGGTATTGTACCTAGAGTTACTGAAAGAGACATAGCTCTTGATTTGGCTGATTCAGGGGCACCAAGGAAACAGCTCGTGCAAGGTTACGGCGCTATTACCGCAAGGAATTCTCCATGTATCGAATGCTCCACGAAGGAGATAGTATGCCACGTTTTGGAAACAAGACTGCACGACATTTTGACTTTCTAGTGGTTGGTGGACTAGAGGTGGTGGCGATGTATATGTATAACGTTGAGAATGTAGTCGGAAGTGAATGACTGCTGGTTCAGAATGATTATTGCATTATACCGAAACACACAACTACAGGCGATCGACTTTGAGTGCACCTGCGTTGAGGTTATTTATGATTATCCGCATGAGATCATCGAGTTTCCTGCCGTGTTGATTGATGTCCGGCAAATGAAAATTGTAAGACTTTCAGTTGTGCAATCTACTTTTAATTCGCTATAATTTTAGTATCAATCCAGCTTGCAAGCGAGGTTGATAAACACAGATTTGTTGGACTGACTTCTTGCTTGTTATCACCTTTTTTTTCAGATTTCTGGAAAAAGGATAGGCACTTTGTAAGTCACTGGTAAAGATAAAGTTTTGACCTGAAGCGGTCACATCATACGGAGTGAATGACCTCTCGCGTCACGAGTGCATTTCGATGTGCCTTCCTCTTCAAGGGCTTAGAAGAATGCGATCACGACAAAACGATACCCAAATGAATTGTTATTATCAACATTATAAGCAAATAGAGTAGAACTCGCGCATTTTCAATTCCTCATTTTTGATTCGATCTTCAGGTGGACACATTTCGCACATTTGTAAGGCCAGAGAAGAATCCGACTCTTGATCCATTCTGCGTTCAGCTTACCGGTACTTCTTTTTGTAGCTATAAACCTAGCAAATATTGGACAAGCTTTCTTTCATTTCTGCTATTTTCGAAAGCATGATATTAAACACACTATACGTCATAGTGCCCACGTCGCCATGTTTGTTCAATATCTGAGTACAATTTTTAATTTTTAGGGATTTCTCAAAGCACGGTTGACTCTGCTCCAGTGTTCAAAGATGCCTACAGACTTTTTCGAGACTGGATGGCACATCACAATTTAGGCGACAACGGTCACCGTTATGCCTTTGTGACTGATGGGTGAGTAGGCCGACGTTCCTACTTTTTCACATTTAGGTAATTTTTCCTATTTCCCTCCCTATAATAATTGGGTTTTCCTTTTTTAACCTTATATACTTCCTTGAAAAGGTTAAAGTCAGTTCAAAATAGTGTTGGTTAACGCCACACAAATCCCAGAAATGGACGTGGATATGCGTGCGTCATACCCAAGGCTCACATTCACATTATCCATTTCGAAAAATTCGCTGATGCTTGACTGCCCCCCCCCCCCCCCCCCCCCCCCCCCCCCCCCCCCCCCCCCCCCCCCCCCCCCCCCCCCCCCCCCCCCCCCCCCCCCCCCCCCCCCCCCCCCCCCCCCCCTCTCCCTTCCAATACTTGCAGGGCAGCCGATGTACAAGTCAGTGTTTTTATCCTCCCAGACAAATTTGGTACCAATTCGCCGACCCTGGATCGATGGAAGGCTTTCGCCCGGGCCAACCAAGCCTTCCATCCCTCCGGGGTCGGTTAATTGGTACCAGACTTGTCTGGGAGGATAAAAACACTGACTTGTACATCGGCTGGCCCCGCAAGTCATTGTATAGGCCACATCGCATTCAAACGCCACTACGAATGTACAAATGGAAGTAGAATGCGTGCCGCATCCCAAAAAGGGATTGATCAACGGCAAATGCTTTATCCTTTTATTCTTTATAAGCTCCGTAGGGA